CTCCTTGGCCCGTCAGTCCCCAGCCTGTAGCTGTGCTTGGGATTCAGCCGTATTCTGTGTAGGACTCTGTACTTGTCCTTGTGGAACCTCATCACCCTCTCCTCCACTGTATCAACCTCTCTCCACAGTGCAGTGTCCTCTGTCAGCTTGCTCTGGGTGCAAACCATCCCCTCATCCAGACCATGAATGAAGCTGTTGAACAAAACCAGCTACAGGACCAAGCACTGGAGCATCCGCTTGAAATCAGCTGCCAACTACACGTTGAACCACTGATACAACTCATTGTGCCCGACGATCTCACTGGCTTCCTGGACTACACTGGACTCTGCCCCACAATGACAATCTGAAATCCTTTTTGGGAAGCCCACAGAAAATGGTCATTTTACTGATAATTCTTTAACAGGAAAAATGGATGGAAAAATGTGGAAACCCCCCGTGTGAACAAGAGCTGGTTTTCCCCAGTGTCTGACTGACTTAGGAGTGTCAGTCCCACTCAAAGCCCTTTGGAAATAAGCCCTGAAATCACATTGGATATGTAAACGGAGCAAGGAAAGGCCACTCCAGGCCCATGCCAACTGACTCAAGCTGAGATTATGTTTTACGGCTGTGAAGACATTCAGACTTGGGCTGCAACCCAAGGTGTTGGGCCCTTCCACATCACAGGGTCCTAAATTCCATGGTCCAGAAATCTACACAGCAATGAAATAGCCCCATGAACTCTCATCTGTTGGCACAGGCCAGCTGTAGTTAGCTTCTACGATGAGGTAACTGGCTCTGAGGACAGGGGAAGTCTGTGGATGATTCGGGGGCTGCAACACAGGACGTGTGAGGAGAGGCTGAGCGATTTGGGCTTGTTTAGTCTGCAGAAGAGAAGAGAGAGGGTGGATTTGAGAGCAATCTTCAACTCCCTGAAGGGGGGGTTTGAAGAGGCTGGAGAGAGGCTGTTCTCAGTGGTGGCAGATGGCAGAACGAGGAGCAATGGTCTCAAGTTACAGTGGGGTAGGTCTAGGTTGGAGATTGGGGAAGCACTTGGATGTGTTCCCAAGGGAGGTGGTGGAATCTCCATCCCTAGAGATTTTGATGTTCTGACTTGACAAAGCCCTGGCAGGAATCATTTAGTTGGGGTTGGTCCAGAGGGCTGGACTTGATGACTTGTAGGTCTCTTGCAGCCCTAGGATTCTAGTTTTTTCTGTGCTTTGCAGAAGAAGCTATAGGCAGTTTTGGAATCTACCCCAAGGTGTCTTGTCTTCCAACCACAGGAGTAAATTCCCCAACTCAGTCTGGAGTTTTCAGAAGCTCACAGGTCTGAGGTAACCCCACATCAGCTTTGCTTCCCAATGAGCTGTTATCATGACTGAATCTGAGGTACCACAGATACTTAAAACAGTCGGCCTCACCTCCCCTGCCCCTGTAGCTGTGAGCTCCTGACACCCAGCAGGCTAGTCCCCCTATGTGAGGGGCTGCCCCATACCAGCCCAGCCAATCACCACTGGACATTCCTGCAAGATTCATTCTTAGCTGTATTTTAACCAGTTAGCCATGTAGCATCACTAACGATTATTATGATACCACTATAGCACAAATATGAAGCATTTTCGGTGTCATTGGAAACATTAGGACTTGCTGAATTTGGTTATTCCATTTGTATTCCTGCCTTAGTTTTGTATCTCACATTATGAGTAAGGAGCGTGAATCTTTATTCCCAATGCATTTACACAGCGGTATCCCACTTGGGAAGGGGCTTTCAGTGCAGACAGATCCCTGAGACCTGTCTTCAGACATTAGAGAGAACAACAGGCCCCAGGAGAAGCCCAAATCCCACAGACGGAGCCTTCCTGAGACTGCACCAGAGAGCTTAAAATTACCTGTTGTTGTGATTGTACGAGGTCAGAGGATGAGACCACATGAACTTGGGTCCCTCCTCCTATGTTGTTTTTCCACAGCCTGGTCCAGGGAGCAGTTTTGACACAAAGGATTCCCCCCCACCCCTTTGCCAGAGCTATATAAGTCAGGGGGTGAAATCATTAGTTTTCATGCCCCACACAAGAGGACGCCGGGAAGAAGCTGAGGAAGACAGACTGACCGGGGGAAGGGCTGGACCCAGGCTGAAGGCATCTTACCCGGTGTCTGGAAACTCGAGCGCCCCAAGCTGCAAAGAAAATGTAACTTGTGCCTTGAGAAACTGCCAGACAGTCGGTCCCATCCCTCTGGGTGAGAATCTGCTCGTTCCTCCTGACTCTGCCCCGTGTGTTCTGCAGAGTTTGTGTCTGGTTACCTGCTGATAATCTGCTTTGCTGTTCCTGAGACCCACGTCAATCTACTGTTTGTAGTTAATAACCTGGTGTGTAGTGTTACCTAAACCAGTTGGCCTTTAAGTGAAATGTGTGTGGGGAAAAATTCTCCCCTTTGTTAGGACACAGGCATTTTCCTCTCCACGTTGGGGGTGCAAACAGGATAACAGATTCCTCCCTGTTGCTGGTTCGATCCGGCTCAGGTGGTTCAGTCCTGGGGTCGTACTATGGGCTGTTGGTGGTGACCTGGAATGTAGCTTCCCTCAGCAGTGTCCAGTCAGGGAGCCCTGCGTGTCCCTGCTGATGGGCCTGTCCCTGTTGTGTGGGTGTGGGAGGAGATGTGCGAGTGGGGTGTGGTCTGCAGCTGGCCACAGCAGCACAGTGCGAGCGGGATCCCAGGCTGGGGGCGCAGAGGCTCAGGGGATCCCCAGCTCCAGGTAGGACCTTGGGGTCCAGCCCAGCCCAGACGAGCTGTAGGAAAACCTGCCTAGGACAGAGCAATGGGCGGCTCTTGGATTTAGAATGTAAGAACGTACAGACTGGGCCGGTCCAAAGTCCATCTGCCCCAGGGCCCTGTCTCCCAACACTGGCCAAAGTCGGGTGGTTCTGAGGGGATGAACAGAACAGGCACCTGTCGACTGATTCATCCCCTGTTGCTCTTTCCTGTCCTTTTGTGCCGTGTTCTTCATGGATTCCAGGACAAAAAGTCCCAGGTGCCGGAAACCGACTGGGCGCAGCGATTTCCTTTACAATTCATCACCCTCCATGTCACACTGTCCAGGTTGCAAGATAACGAAAGGGAGCCTGGTGTTTGTTGGGCTGCTTTGTGCCCATCGACAGACCCGTACGGCCCCACCAGTCAACTTCCCTTCCACAGCCAGCCCTGTCCTGTGCACATGATTATGCTGCTAGTAGGCAATAATAGCCAAATCAGTCTGTACCGCACAGCATCTTGCCTCTGATATTCATGTGTCCTCTGTAGCTCCGGGGAAGAAGCTCAGTCATTGAATGCTGGATTTTTGGATCAGGTCCTTTACTGGGGATGGGAACAGTTACCTTCTCTGCATCTGATCTGTGCTAGGGTCTGTCTCTCCACTCCCCAGTCCCAGAATGCCCAGTAGCATTCCTATCCTACCTACATGCACAGCCCTTTCCCTCTGTGTTTGTCTAATCCAAGTACAGAATGAATTTCGTTATGTACAGTAATGTCAAAGTAACGTATGCCTGGGCACAACTCAGAGGAACCCTCACTCCAAGGCATTACAAAATACAGGTCTATGTAGCACTTTAAAGACTAACAAGATGGTTTATTTGATGATGAGCTTTCGTGGGCCAGACCCACTTCCTCAGATCAAATAATGGAAGAAAATAGTCACAACCATATATACCAAAGGATACAATTTGTCCTTTTCATATGTGTTCATTTTTTTTTAAATTGTATCCTTTGGTATATATGGTTGTGACTATTTTCTTCCATTATTTGATCTGAGGAAGTGGGTCTGGCCCACGAAAGCTCATCATCTAATAAACCATCTTGTTAGTCTTTAAAGTGCTACATAGACCTGTATTTTGTTTCAGCTACACCAGACTAACATGGCTACATTTCTACCACTATTCTCCAAGGTATTATGCACATTTTAAAACTTTGCCATAGGGGTAATCGGTCCATTTAGGACATGTTAGGCATTGGAAAACCCATTATTCAAGGAATTAAACAGATGTACGAGATAGAAACAAAGTAAGGAATTGCTCAGACTAGTTGTAAGAACACTTTGGGAGAGTCAAATTACAAAGTATGCATGGGTCTTTCAGGAAGTTACAAGAGAATCACAAGTCTGTCTTGGGAGGTGAGTATGAAAGACACAGTGTGTGTGTGTGTGTGTGTGTGAGTGTGTGTGTGTGTCCACACGTAAGCGGTTCTGTGTGTGTGAGCGTGTGGAGAGTGTATAAGTGTGTTTTTGTAAGACAGTGTCTTTGTGATTCCGACACACTGCCTTTCACATTCTAAACTAGTTGGCACCTAAATCCCTTAGGTACCTTTAAATCTCAGAGCCGATGTGGCAAGGGGATTCAATTTTTCTTCATGTAGCTGGTGTTTGGCATTCCAGATCTAGAGAGCAGACTGACCTGGGAGCTTTGGTCAAATATCTTTGAAATCTTTCAAACCGGGAGCACTGAATTGTTTTTTTCCCTTCTAGAAAGTAGCTCTCAGCTCTGCCTCTATAACCACTCATAAAGTTGGTACAATTGACCCTGGAGGATCTGAGATCAGGTGCAACCCACGGGGTATGTTCAGGGCAGATTTCTTGTGTCCTTGTGTGTTTCTCAGCTGCATCTTTCAAATGGTGGATTTGTTTCTTTGAAACGGCTGCAACAGTGGATACTGGCTAGACCTGATACCAAACCTTGGGGGTTTGGATTTTTCTATTATGGGGTTTATCTCTGCTCAGCCTCAAAAGTGTAATTTCCTCCCACCCGGCACCCTTAGAGTACTGCACCTTTAGCTCGGATGCTAAAACTAGCAAAGTAGCCTCAGCAGCACAGACTAACTGCCGGCAGCCACCAGACATTCCAGGTACAGACATATGTATGTGTCTCCAGCCAGTGGCGACAGTCTCATTGCTCATTTGATGCGCTAACTTGATCAAAGCTGGGGAGTGTTGAAGGCTCCATGCGTATCTGATGCTTTTCTGTTTCTAGACATGTATTATGGAAGGAAGAAACCAAACGCCCATCGTGGAATTGATCCTTGTAGGTTTTGGGAACGATCCTGAACTGCAGCCCCTCCTCTTCCTGCTTTTTCTAGTGATCTACATTGCAACTGTGGCTGGGAACCTGCTCAGCATTGTGCTGGTAGTGGCTGATCGACACCTTCACACCCCCATGTACTACTTCGTGGCCAGCTTGTCCGCTGTGGAGATCTGCTACGTCTCCACCACCCTACCCAGGCTGATTGGCAGTCTGGTGACTGGGGACAGAACCATTTCTCTACAGAACTGCCTTGTGCAATTCGAATTCTATGGAATCTTCACCACTGCCGAAACTCTGCTGCTCACGGCCATGTGCTGTGATCGGTTCCTAGCGATCTGCCATCCCCTCCGTTACCCTGCTCTGATGACCAGCAGGGTGTGTGGCCACTTGGTGGCAGGGTGCTGGATATTCAGCATTTCCTACACTGTGATGGTACAAACATTGATGTTGCAATTCACCTACTGTGGCCCCAAAGAATTTGACCATTTCTTTTGTGATTTTGGATCCGGTGTTCGGTTCTGTGGCGAGACCCAGACTCTGATACTGCTGACATTTGTTTTATCTGTCACAATAACTCTTGGGGTCTTTCTCTTTACCCTATCAACCTACATTTGTATCATCGCCACCATCCTGAGAATCCCTTCCAGCAGCGGGCAGCAAAAGGCCTTTTCCACCTGCTCCTCCCACCTCATTGTGGTTGTAGTTTACTATGTGAGCGGATTTACAATCTATGTGCTTTTTTGGTTCTCGCTCCCCACGATCCTGTACAAAATATTTTCTCTCATGATGACAATCCTGATACCTTTGATCAATCCTGTTATCTACTGCCTCAGAAACAAGGAGGTCCATCAGTTCCTGAGAAAAGCTGTTACAGAATTGGTAGATTTCACACACAGCATGGAGTATGAAAGGAGAAATGTTGGTGTACAGTAAAATAGAGACAAATTGATGTATTCTCTTACACCTGACCCACTTGACTATTGGAAAAGAGGGTTACCCTAAATTGACCTTACTTAGCCTTGTCTCTTGTTTGGTTTCTTGGTTTCTGCCTGTAGTTCTCCTACTTTTTAAACTTTTCTGTTTCATAGCATCCTTGGCTGTGTCTAGACTGGCCAGTTTTTCCGGAAAATCAGCTGCTTTTCTGGAAAAACTTGCCAGCTGTCTACACTGATTGCATGAATTTCTGCAAAAGCACTGACTTCCTACTGTAAGAAATCAGTGCTTTTTGCAGAAATACTATGCTGCTCCTATTCGGGCACAAGTCCCTTTTTGCTCAAAACTTTTGTGCAAAAGGGCCAGTGTAGACAGCTGAGATTTCTTTTGCACAAAAAAGCCCCGATCGCGAAAATGGCGATCGGGGCTTTTCTGCGCAAAAGCGCATCTAGATTGGCCATGGACGCTTTTCCACAAAAAGTGCTTTTGCGGAAAACCATCCGTGCCAATCTAGACGTTCTGTTCCAAAAATGCTTTTAACGGAAAACTTTTCCATTAAAAGCATTTCCAGAAAATCATGCCAGTCTAGACACAGCCCTTGTGTTTTAGTGCCATGCTCCACTTCACTGATTCGTACAGGGGTACAAGTGCCCAGATTCTGCAGGGACCGTAACAACTTCTGAGTGACCCCAGATCTCTTCCCCACCTACAGAATCGTACCATATTCCCATCCCATTCACTAGGCTCTTCTGTTGTCAGGTACAGCATGAAAATTAGGGGAAATATTTTGCTGCGATGGTGAGTGAACAAAGAACACGTCTTCAGATGGAAATGAAATGAAATTCTGTGGTGGGTTAGGAGTCTAAGGGTGTGTCTATACTACATGGCTCCGCCAATGGAGCCATATAGATGAGGCTGATCAGCAGAGGGAAATGAAGCCACGATTTAAATAATTGCAGCTTCATTTAAATTTAAATGACTGCCACACTCTGCCGATCAACTGTTTGTCCGCAGATCAGGGCAGTCTGGACGCTCCCCTGTCGACATGAAATCCCTTTGTCGACCTCCCCAATAAACTTTATCCCACGAGGCATAAGGGGGAGGTCGACAAAGGGCTTTCATGTTGACGGGGGAGCGTCCAGACTGCCCCGATCTGCCGACAAACAGCTGATCATCAGCTGGCTGGCAGATCCCGGCAGCCATTTAAATTTAAATGAAGGCGCAATTATTTAAATCGTGGCTTCATTTCCCTCTGCCAGTCAGCCTCATCTACACACCCTCAGTGTTCCTCCGAGTAGCATTTCCTATCTATCTGTACACTTGTCAGGGGCCAGGCACCTCTATCTCCTCTGATACTTACAGCCCTATGGATATTGGTACAGAAAGAGAAAATGGAAACAGAGGCGTTTGCCAACAGTCTCCATTCTTCTAAGATCTGACCTCTGTCACTATCAAAATAAAAAGCAATGAATGAATTAAAAGGAATCATAGAATCACAGAATCTCAGGGCCAGCAGAGACCTCAGGAGTCCAGCCCCTCTCCCAAAGCAGGAACAACCCCAACTCAATCATCCCAGCCAGGGCTTTGTCAAGCCAGGACTTAAACACCTCTAGGGATGGAGATTCCACCCCCTCCCTAGGGAACCCATCCCAGTGCTTCATCACCTTCCTCTAATATCCAACCTAGACCTCCTCTACTGCAACTTGAGCCCATGGTTGATAGTTCTGTCATCTGTTGCTATTGAGAACAGCCTCTCTCCATCCTCTTTGCAACCCCCCTTCAGGTAGTTGAAGGCTGCTCTCAAATCCCCCCTCGCTTTTCTCTCCTGCAGACTGAATTATCTTAAATCCCTCAGCCTCTCCTCTGGTCATGTGCGCCAGCCTCCGAATCATGTTCGTTGCTCTGCAC